CTTTCCCTTCCTCCTTTTTCCTTTTCGCTTTCACGAAGATGATCAGGAGCCTCTGCGCGACGAACTCGGCAAATTTTGACCGAATTTCTCACGGAACCCAAAAATAGGACGACGAGGTCTGCTTAATGGCGCCAAACGAGTTGTCACTTTTCTCACGATCGATTCGCCAAAGCGAGGAAAGTAGCTCGAATTTCGAGTTGTACAGTTTCTTCAAACGCAGCTCAACTTATCGTTGCAAATCCGACGCTGGTCCAGGTACCTTTTGCGTACTTACGTAACGTTACACGAGAAATCCAAGTCAGCGATGTTCCGATATTTTTTACGGTCGCGAGAGTTCAGGATTTATAAATTGCAGAAGCCTTAGTTCCGAAATTGCTGTAGGAATATAAAGTGGAAAATTTGTGGATCCTTCGAAGCGTAAATTTCACGCGGCTTGATCACTTGCACGTAATGGAGTGGCGCAGCGTCCATTTTGTTTCTCTTTCCTAACGTAATGCCGCGTTTCCATATTCGAATCGTTGCTCATTGGGAAATCTCGTGCGCGGCGTCTTGACAGAAACACTGATAAAATGGATGAACCGGTGAGAATTTAAACGATTGCTATTAATAAATGTGATTGCAGCTTATTTTTTGTCACAGCTGAAGATTCTTCCTTCGCGTCGATAGTTGAGTTAATACGAAAGGTTAATATGAAAGGAATTTACAGCCGACGTTGTAGCACATATATTTATGCAAAACTAAATAACATTACGTAATAGCATATCGAAATAACAAACGAAATTCATCGAATGATGTGTCAATTGGTGGATTACCTGTACGAACGGCTTTCATGTAAACTCATACAAGATGGAAAAAGTCATTTTTCCATTATGTAACAAAGTTGGCTAATTAAATATCGTCTGAATAAATTAATCTTTATTTACATTTTTTAAATTGAAGTATATCTGGTGATACAAGCTGAAGTATAATATTGATAAGGTAATTACAGTTATTAAATTTCATGAACATGTTTATCAGGAATCATGTCGAATATAATAACTTAATTACATTATAGTTATATTAATTACAGTGATATAATCATTATAATTATTCGATATTATTAACATAATGCATATTATTATAATCCCTGCTTTTGTAACGTGTATTACTTATCTTTTATTACCAAAGGTGAAAACGTATTATTTCACGTTCGATATTTTCCATAACTCGTTGGATAAATGCACGATGTTACGTTTCCATAGCATACATATTAAGCCTGGAGTGGTCAGACATTCGTGAAACACATGATTATGTTTTTCAATGGCGGTCCTTTTCGGTTCGGCCGAAAACGCTTAAGGCTACTTTCTAACCTTCGACCACGCACGAATCTGCGCATCTCTCCACGGAATCATCCACACGAACTTAAAAAAGGAATTCACGGGGAATATCTACGTGCGTGATCTTTCATTATACGATCACCGGAATAGTGGCGTAATTCATAACCTTGACGTATGAACGAACACAGAGAAACTAGTAGACAAAAATAGATTTTTACATTTTCATATTACACAGAAAAACAGACAAATTTTGTCTATAATTCCCTAATAATAATAATTTAATTCCCTATTGATAATCATTTTTGTCTACTATTTCCTAAACGAATGGAAACAACTATTAATTGCTATTTTAAAAATGTTCTGTACAAAATTGAACATTTTAAAAATATTTGCGACAAAGCAAAAAGTTTTTTAATATACTTCAATTAAATTAACTTACTATAAATGATTCATGTAGCTTTGCTTATTGTTCAGACTTTCTCTGAGAATTTTGAATTGTAATATATTATATTCTTTTTTAATATTATTATTTTTCGAGTCTTATAAGTACAATGATATTTCTCATAAACAAAATATACGTTGGGTGAAATAGGTTTGTTATGTTTAAAGTTGTTCATGAAATAATTTAATTTTATTTATATTTGTATGACAAATACACCGCCTGCTTGTACTCATGAATAATTCTACTTGCTAAATTCATTTCCACGAAATTCTGCATCTGTTAAATAAATCAGAGGCACCAGGTACTATTCAAAGTACTCCAAGATTATGATCTAACGCTGTAACTGTAATGTGAAAAAAAAGACCAGACATTACCAGTTTCACAACCTCAAGTCCGTTGACTCGTTCCAGAAAATAATTTTGTCTAGGTAATTAACTATTTAAAAAGGAAAATTTATCGTAATTTTAACCCGTGACAAGGTACCGAGCCATAGGTGTAATTAGAAACCCGATTAAATATAATACAACTTGAGATTACACTCGAGGTTAACAACAAGATCACGAATTACTAATGTAAGTATAGTCTTTCGTCTTATACTTTTATGTATTATTTTTTTGGATCTCTTACATATCTTCTAATACAATTTTTACATATTATTGTATATAGTATGAGTATGTTTGAATTAATTGTCATAAATAAATAATAAAAATATAAATAAAAATTCTAATAATTATTAAAAAGTCTACAATAAATCTCAATTCGATAAAATTATAATTATGATAAATTACTTCTCTTCTAATGTGATTATGCATTAGATAATAAGATAACGCTTTTATCTATTCCAAAAAGATAGCATTCCATAGCACGAGATATTTTTTATAAAATTAAGGAAATGAAATTTCATAAAATAAAAATATAAATCAAAGTTCTAATAATTACCAAAAGTCTACAATAAATTTCAATTCGATAAAATTATAATTATGATAAATTACTTCTTTTCTAATGTGATTATGCATTAGATAATAGGATAACGTTTT